TGGAGGGTTCTGAGCGGAAACAGCACCTCATCTGATTTATGTTTTAAAAGGGCCATTGTGATGTTAGGAATAGACTGAGAGATAGTGAGGGTGGAAGTGGGAAGACCAATTAGGAGGAAATTGAAATAATTAAGAGATGATAGTGTCTTAGCCAGTGAGGGGAGTAAAAGTTGCTGAATAATGAATACATTTACTAGTAGAAGGACAGCTAAGAGATTTCCCTATAGAAAGGGGGTTGGATGTGAGGAAAAGAGGAAATAGAATGACTCGCAAGACACAGGCCCTAAAAACTAGAACTTTGTATGTGTTCTCATGATTTTCAAATATTACTTTTTCTAGCAATATGTTTTTTTAAATAACCTTCATTGTTTTGTAGGATTTTAAAAAGGTTTATTAATGGAATTATATTTCTTTTTTTGCTTTACATTATATATTTTTTATTTTTTATTTTTGTTGTTGTTGTTGTTGATTTCAGAGAGGAAGGGAGAGGGAGAGATAGAAACATCCATGAGAATCATTGATCAACTGCCTCCTGCAGGCCCCCTACTGGGGACCACGCCCGCAACCTAGGCATGTGCCCTTAACCGGAATCAAACCCGGGACCCTTCAGTCCGCAGGCCAATTCTCTGTCCACTGAGCCAAACCGGCTAGGGCTATGTTATATTTTTTTAAATTTACCCACATTGATCTATGTAGCTCATTTATTAATATAACTGTTCTATGGTATTTCACCGTATGACTACACCACACTTTTTACATAATTTTCCTATGAAGAGGTACTCTGGTTATATCTTCTTTTACAGTGTGACAAACACTGGCATCATATTGCTTGTATGTATCTCCTTGTGCATACATATAAGAGTATGTCAAATAAGACATCAAAAATTGGAAGTGCTATATATACATATCTTACAGCTTTGTTGAGTAATTCCAAATTAATTTCCACATTCAATATACCACCATGTATGGCAAGCATGTCAAACTCACAGCCCGCGGGCCACATGCGGCACACACAAATATTTTTGTGGCCCAGCCAATATAACGGTATGTAAGAAACGTTTTAATAAAAATTTTGTAACTTAACTTTTACAGTATCCTGTTATACATAATTATTAATAACAAACTACAACATTCGCTAATGACTGATTACTATAATCGTGTTGTATTAATTTCCCTTACGTGCCTTATGCACAGGCGCACCATTTCTCTCCACTAATACTAGCAGCAAATATTTTAGCAGCCAATTGCCTCGTCATTAGTCTTGGACTGACTTGCTGGTGTGTGCAACAGGAAATATTTCGCTTTTGGAGAACAAGAAAAATAGGTTTATTTGCATTAAGCTTATTAATTTGTTCAATTATTCACTGCTGGTAAGTTAATGTTCAAGAAAAATATTTTTATTAAAATGTTCTATTATTTTATGTTAAGGATTACTCATAGCCCTTTGTATTCAGCATGTCTCTATCAAAATAAACCTATGTTTCTATGAAAATTGAAGCTTTTGTTTTTTTGTGGCCCACATAAACTTAAACCTTATTTATTTGGCCCGTGTTAGCCTTTGAGTTTGACATGCTTGATGTAAGAGTTCTCATTTTCCCACACATGTAAAAGCTTGATGTTTTCAGGTCTTATTTTTTGCCAATATTATAAGTGAAAAATATTTTAATGTGCATTTTTATAATTATTAGTGAGATTAACCATCTTTCATTTATATATGTATGTATGTATTTTATTGTGTTTTGAAGGGAGAGGGAGAAAGAGAAATATAAACATTGATGTGAGAGAGTAGAATATTTATCAGCTGCCTCCTATCGGGAATCGAGCCTGCAACCTGCAACCATATGACCAGGGTTTAACCATCTTTTAATATATATGTGATTGTTTTAGGTTCCATCTTCTATAAATTTCAGGTTTTTATCTTTTGCCATTTTTTTCTATTCTATTGTATTGGTTAATCTTTTTCATATTGATTTCTGGAAACTCTTTAAATAATATATAAAATTGATATTCATAACAGTCTATGGCTTTCCAGATAAGGTTTTCATTTCAATGTGATTAAATTTATCGCTTTCTTTATTGTCATATTTTTTGTATAAGTATATGCACATATGTGTGTGCATTTTAATAAGTATTTTCCTAATATAATGTCATAAAGGGGTTCTCTAATTTTTCTCTAAATTTGTATATGTTTCTTTTTCTGATTTAGGCCCTAAATCCTCACTCAAAATTTATTTTCATGTATGTTGTGATATAAATGTCTAATTTTATATTTTATAATACGATCAAATTTAACCAACATTTATTTGTTGAAAATCTCATTATTTCATTATTGATACATATTACTTCCTCTGTCAAATATAAAATTCCCTCTTCATTTAAGTGAAATTTTATACATGCAGGCTTTTATCTCTTTGTCTTTTGCTCAATATTATGATTTTAAGATTTAGCCACATTGTTAACTAAAGCAGTTGTGTGTGTTTTTGTCACTGTTTCATGGTTTTTTCATTTATGATTATACCACAGTGTATTTATCCATCCTATTTTGATGGGGCTTAATGTTTTTTCCAGTTTCTGTTTATTATAAATAATGCTATGACTTTGAACTTTCTTATACATCTCCTATGTTGCATATATGTATATATTTACCTAAGAATAGAATTGCTAGGTTGTAAAATATACAAATGTTCAACTTTATTAGCTGCTATCAATTTTTTTAAATGCTGATACTCCCCACAGCAGTGTATCAGAGATTCAGATTTTCCACATGTCATCAACATAATATTGCTAAGAATTATTTTAAACACACCAGTGAAAGAAATTAAAGATCCAAATAAAAGTGAAAAATCCCATCTTCATGTATCAGATTTAATATTGTTATGATAGCAATATTTCCAAAATTGATCTATAAAATCAATGCAACCTCCAGAACTCCAGTTAACTTTTTTGTAGAAAATGACAAGGTGATCCTAAAATTTATATGAAAACTCAAGGAAGAAGAGACAAAACAATCTTGAAAAAGAACAACAAAATTGGAAGATTCAAATGCTGTCAGTTCAAAGACTAAAAGAAGGCACTGTTTTTAGTCTTTGCTCCTGTTATTTGAGCATTTATGATTTAATTTGCTATGCCCTGATTTCACTCCATGAATTATCATATAGTAAATGCATTATATCACATGTGCTTACTAACTAGAAATGTATCGGTTAGAAGATGACAACCTATATGTTATTTTGAAACTATGAAATTAAGATTTGCTGAAGACAAATTAGAATAATTAATCACATTATCATATGCCACTCAGATAGGCAAGAACAAGACTGCAATAAAAGGAAAGATGGGATCCAGTTACAAATTTGTAATTTAGGTGAAAATCAGATACCTGTTGAGCAACGTTCAGATTTCAAACGTGACTCAGTATCACTTTACTCCCTTAATTGGACAACATCATTATAAAGTGTTAGTAAGCAGGCAAACTAGTTTTGAAGAAAATATATTGCCACTAGCAGCTTGTCTTTACGTCTAAAATATGGTACTCTAGGGAACACAATCATTGTTGCCCTTCATGAATCTAGTAAATTATCATACCTTATCTCATTTTTTTCATCTTTTCTTTCATGACTTTTAAATGTCTTTTCTTTCTTTTTCACCCACCAAACATGTGCCTAGCATGCTGCAAGCAACTGATCAAGGCATTTTTCTCACCAGAATAATCAGTCCATAAATACTTCTGAACTCTTCACCTCCTTCGTTCATTATTAAGACCACTGCCAGATTTATACCAGAAAAAGCTATTTATCCCTCCTTGATTCTATAACATCCCATATAATGTATAATTTGTTATCCTTTAGTGCAGTAATTTGAATATTTGTAGAGATATCTACAAGGGACTTTTGAATTGGACTTTAAACTTTCTGAAACTGGGATGGGACACTTACATTTTAAATATTCTTTAAAAGTATACTGCAATGTACTGTGGATATTCTCAGAATACTTAATTCCTGTTGCCAAAGAATTCCTATCATGGGATTAAGATTAGACATATGGAACAATCAGAAGACAAAAATACTAATTTAGAACGTTCTTGTGGTATCAAGAATACATTTTGAGAGTTTAGTAAACGAAATCTTCATAATAATATATTTAATCCTCAATGGATTAGTAGGATGGTGATGAGAAAAACAGGAAGATACAGCAATAAAGAAAAGAGCATATCTAGGTGCTTCTCATTGGTGCATTAATGTTTTTACTTGGGAATAGTGAAAAGCATCACTGGATAAGGGCAAGTGAGTCTACTTTATAAAAGACCTTGGTATTTAAAATTATTACATTATGTGAAAGGTGTAAAAGTATTGCCTAGTTCTCCATGACAGAGCCACTCTCAATTTCCCAGTAAGAATATAT